CGAATACCGAATGTATATCGTCTATACAGAACGATTGACGAAACCATAGTCTAAATCTTACTAATATAATAGACAAATTCCCCCACCAACATTTTTTATCCCCTCTCTTATTTGTCTTCAGAATTGTTAACACATGTATTGATACATTTTCCGAAACTAGATAATAAATCCATGGCACAGCGTCGTAGCCAATCAATTAAGCAATCATATGTCGATGAAGCAATGTCAGCCATGATGCATTACAGCGCAAGAGAAAATGATGTGTAGTGTTTATTACTGGTATTTTTTACCAATATATTATTACCGGCATATTTATAATTTTTTAACTGATATTATCGACCCTTCGTCTTTGTCCCGTTTTAGCATATTTTAGAATATTCGAGATCTTTTGAGGAGAACATTCGGTTCCCGAAAAAAAGAATTTTACCTAATGTATGCCTACATAGATACTTTGATAGGAAGTAAAAAGAGACATCCTTTTAGCTTTTATCTTCAACAGCCCCCCGAAAAAAGAATTTTGTATAACATTAATAATTGTCACCGAGGATTATTTCCACGGTAGACACAGGTCCTATGCTGATCCCAATCTCCAAATATTTGCACGACGTTGCAGTCAGAGCATATCTGCGTCTCAGGATACGAGCAGTATGGCACCGCATTTATACATGTTGTCGAGCGCCGTCTAATCTGGCTGCTGATAACGAATTCTCTACAGTTATAGCAGGTAAAAAGGATATACATATTTTTTAGATAGGGCGTGACACAAGGATTTTTAGTTTAAGTTTCTTTGGAAAACTTTGGGAGGGGGGACATAGGAAAAATAGAACATATAAAATCAGGAAAATTTTCAGCGCGCGTTTAGTCCAACCCTCAGACAATGACAAACATCGAACGCGAGCAAAAAGTTCTTATTGAAGACTATACCAACGACAGCGAGAAAAAATAAAAAAGTTTTTAAGTGTGTCTGTATGCGGAATAGAAGAGCATATATGATATAGTGAACAATGGGTGATAATCTTCCAATCGAAGAAATATTAGACGATGAAGAAATGAATGATATGGATGTGCAACCGCTAAATGGCAACAACGACGAAGTGATGGAAGTGGACAACAATTTTGAAAGAATACTCGACGAAGAGTCATCCGATGAAGAAAATATACTCGCAGGTGACAGTGATTACCATAGTGATTGTAATGACCAATTTATGGAAAGAACTGACAAATTAATTCATAATTCAGAAATCAATACACTAAATGGACGTACAAAAATGTGTTGTATATATTTTTACTATTCTACAGGAGGTAGTTTAGTATTATGCACTTCATGTATGTTGCGAGTGACTGATTTATTTACACACATGTATGCAGTTCGGAAGCATCTAATTGAAATATATGATGCGATAGACGGGAGATTTTGCTCAGATTGCAAAGGACCACTGTTTCAAATACTTCCATGCAATTTGTGTCCTTTATGCACCTAAGGACGTCCTAAAGAAGAAGAAGAATGGATACTAGAAGAAAGTGACTATAAAAAATCAAAACAATCAATTTGTGAAAGTGCGTTTTTGTGAAAAAATGGAAGAACTCGCGCGAGTTGAACGTGAACTGCAGGAGCAGTCCGCTCGATTAAGTTCGCGAGACGAATTCGACACGTGGGTGCAAAAGTGTGACGAGTGTCTCGAGTTGTTGGAAGAACATAGTCGGGCTAAACGACCGCGATTATCGATCGGTATTAGACAGTCATTGATTGCTCGAATCGCGCAACTCGAGGGGTTAAAAAATACGTTGCGCACACGTTTCGTTCACGCGGGTGCAGGACACAGCACGAGAGATGCAGGACTCGTTTGGCGCGAGGTCGATACCGCGTTCGATAACCGCATACTAACCGGAATTGTTATCAACGCGAACCACATCGAACCTCGCCAATTTCTCGAGGATGCAAAGACTATGGTGCTCGAGCGCATACGGGATGCAATGGAGAGACACGTAAACGTGAAAGTGAACACTGCGTTTAACAGTGAGTTCGTCGCGGGTGAAAAACGTGCGGTAAAGAGCATCGCTACGAAAAACTGTGACCTCTTTTCCACATCCAACTTAGAGGAGTGGTACGAGCGACGCATCGTCGAGCTCACTTTAGCATCGTTGGAGGAATTCCAGGAACGCGATAGCGGGTGGGCATTATCGCGAATACTCTATCTTACAATCAATGTGAACAAATACAATCCGTTGCACGCGGGATGTCACCTCGAGTTACCGCGTATGATACAGCTGAAACGGGCTGTGATTAATGTCAAATCTCCGGACAATGCATGTTTCGCGTGGGCAATAGTTGCGGCTCTGTATCCAGCCGAAAGACACGCAGATCGCGCATCATCGAATCCTCATTACATGAACGTACTCAATATTCAAGACATTGAGTTCCCCATGAAAATTAATCAAATTACAAGATTTGAACGATTAAACGATATATCCATCAATGTATACAGCATCATGGGAGAAAAGAACGAATCCATTGTTCCGGTACGTCTTAGCGACGGAAAGAGGGAAAAGCATGTGAACTTGCTGCGCATTTCGGATCCTCGAGACCGCAACACGGGACACTTCGCCTGGATCAAGGACTTATCCAGGCTCGTGAGTTTTCAATTGAGCAAGAAAAAAGTCAGAAAATACATTTGCGATCGGTAAGTACATTTCATGAATTCAATGTATCGGAACGATACATGAAACAATGTATGAAACGATAGTAAATTGCAATGTTTTTTTTTTTATAGATGCCTGCACTATTTCCACTCCAATGAGAAGTTAGAGAGTCACGCGGTAGACTGCGAAAAATTAAACGACTGTGCCATCCTGCTACCCAGCGAAGACAATAAATGGTTGAGTTTTAACAATCACAGCAGGAAGGAGCGAGTTCCCTTTGTGGTGTATGCCGACCTAGAGTGCACACTGGAGAAGACGGTAAGTGAGAAGGAAGAGGAGGGATGTACATCGCACGCGTATCAGCATCACAAAGTATTTAGTATAGCATATTACTTGCGTTGCTCGTACGACGATTCGGTATCATATTTTCGGTGCCGTCGCGATACGGATTGTATTTCGTGGTTCGTCGAGCAACTAGAAAAGTTAGCACACCGTGTAAAAGAAAAGTTATCAACCAATGTCGATATGGAAACTTTATCGAAGGAACAGTGGGCGGCATTTCATAACGCGACGCAATGTCACGTGTGCGAGAAGCCATTTGCGACAAAGGATACACGCGTACGCGATCATTGTCATTTCACCGGACAGTATAGAGGTCCCGCGCACTCAAACTGTAATTTAAATTACAAAAATTCATATCATATTCCAATAGTTTTTCACAATTTATCTGGTTATGATTCTCATTTTATTATCAAAGAAATAGCTAACGCATTTAGCGGGGTCAATCGATGTGTGTACTACCGATAACAAAAGAAAAATACATTTCCTTTACAAAGAACGTCCAAGATACAGCAGATAAATATAAAAATATTGTAAAATTGCGTTTCATCGATTCCTATAAATTTCTCAGCAGCAGTCTCGACAAATTAACATCTTTTCTCACTAAAGACAAGTTAAAAATTTTACGGTCAGAATTTTCACAATTATCCGTCGAAGAATTTGATTTATGGACGCGAAAAGGTGTCTTTCCGTACGAATACGTGGATTGTGTGGACAAGTTGCAGGATGTGTGTTTACCGCCGCGAGAATCGTTTTACAGTTCGTTGACGGGCGATACGGTATCCGAGAGCGATTACGCGCACGCTGCAAACGTCTGGCAACGATTCTCTATTCGAACCTTGGGCGAATATAGCGATTTGTACCTGAAGACTGATGTCTTGTTATTGGCCGATATTTTTGAAAATTTTCGCGATAGCTGTATCGCAAGTTATGGATTAGATCCTGCGTATTATTATACTTTGCCAGGTTTTACGTGGGATGCAATGTTGAAACATACCGGCATAAATTTTGAGTTGCTCACTGACATTGATATGCTCATGTTCATCGAACGCGGTATACGTGGTGGCTTGAGTCAATGTTCCGGTAGATACGCGCAAGCCAATAACAAGTACATGCAGTCTTACGATCCATCGAAATTGTCATCGTACCTGATGTACTTTAACGTAAACAACTTGTACGAGTGGGCAATGTGTCAACCGCTGCCTTACGCTGAAATTCAATGGGTTACAGACTTTTCAAAATTTGATGTATCTTCAATCGATATCGATTCACCCATAGGTTATATTCTCGAGGTCGACTTGG